TTTATTTACACATAAAATCACTGTTTTGAAATAGCTCTTGAAGATGAAATTGAAGCAGAATGACACATATCTGAAGAGCATTAATCAAATTATATCAGAAAGAAAAGGAAAAAAATGAAATATAGTTAAGTGGTAGTAGGAACTAAGTTTTGGAGGGTGAGAATTAACATTCTTAATGTTCTCTCTAATTTATTATTTGAGATTAAAAGACAACAATGGAAGTATATGGAGGCTAGAGATCATGGTATAGCCGTGCAGTCAGTAAGCCAAAGTTCAAATTTCTGTGGTACCTCCGGATAGTTGTTTAATATCAGGCAAATCTTAACCTGTCTCAGATCTCACAATTTGCCTAAGTATCAGTTCCCTGTTCTATAAAACGGAAATACTAAAACCTATTTCATGACTTGCAATCATTTAACATAGTGTCTCGGACACATATTTGGAATTTTATATGTAGTCTCAGTAAATTATCTACCCGAAGCATTGATTTAATATTGTCTGAATTATTTGATATTTCTTTAAAATGTTTCATAATAAAATTCAATATAATGAGTATTTGCTGTGTTTTCCCTCACTTAACGACTGAGTGAAAGTGAAGGCCCAGTGTGTCATTAAGAGGGGGCTAGAAGGACCCAGACATTATGATTTCCCTAAAATAAAATGAGGTTTATTCTAGCTGGCTACACTTCAGTTGTTCCCAATCACTCTAAGCAATTGGTATATTCTGACATGAGTTTGTATTTGTAATTGTTAGAAGTTGGGCAAGTATATATTAGTCCACCCCAATCAAGCTAGTGGTCATTCCTATAGTGGAAATTTGTTATTATCCTCATATTGTAATGCATCCCAGGAAAGAGCATTGTGTTACATGGTGGTGCAAGGGGTTGAAGTGGGGAATATGGTGGTCTCTAAAAAGATGAAATTCTTGAAGATTCTGCTTAAACGTCTCTTCTTCATGAAGTCTGTTTCTTTAAGCCTCTGGCAAAAATTAATTGCTTTACCTTTCCTCAAGTAGTTTCGATAGCTCAATTTTGTATTTACATCTCACTCTGTCTTGTATAATATTTGTGTTCTTACTTATTCAGTCTTCCTTAGGAATTAGCAAACTCTCTGAGAGCTGAAGCCAGTCTTTTCCTTCACTTTCGCCTTTCCCGTGGTAAGGCTGGTATGCAACTGGTGTCCAAATGCTCAGATAATTAATCACCCTCTATAGAACCTTGAGACTCGAGAGTTTTGGTTTCTGTCTGTATTTATAGAAGTGAATGACCTTAATTTGGGAATTAGGGAAATTTTTAAAGTAATTATAATTATCTACAACCCAATTTGAAGTAAGAAAAAAATTGTAGATTGTGGAACCAGTCCATCACGTATCCAGAAAGCATTTTCTGGTTCTGCTGGCTTCCAGCTATTTGGCTGATAAATGTCACAGGCTGGTAAAGCTCACCTCCAAGCCAAAGGCACATTTATCTGCACAGTCATGACTATTTCTGTTTCAAATATGCATCTGCTTCTCAAATTTTCCTCCCCCTTGACAGTAATGTGCCTCACTGCTCCATGTAAATTCTTCTATTTTTCAAAGCATTAATCTGAAGGGGATGGAAATGGAGGCTCTTGTATAAAAGGAAAAATCCCCTGACATATATAGTTACCTTGAATGCCTGACGTTTGCTTTTAGTTGTTACCCTTCTAAAAAAATACTGTCTTTTTAAGACATAAAAAAGGAACTTTTATAAACTCTGACTTTAAATATCCCTAGGTATTCTGGACCAGATCTAAACATATTTTTCTGGGTAAGAAGTGATTATGTTTTACAGATCTCTTTGATATTATTGTGCTTAAGCCAGCAGACCTCTGTTCTTCCTGACTGGAAAATGTAAGTCACATTTAAGAATTGTTTCAAAAAATGTCACGAGCTGAGTCCTTGGATGTGAAGTTGCAGCTCACTGCAGATTCCGATAGTTGAGTTACAACTCACTGAAAATCAGGGATTTAAAATGGAAACACTGACAAATCTTCAAGCCAGGGCAGCACAAATGGTGCCTTGATAATTTATAGTCTACAGACAGCTCTTGGGTTTATTATCACAATGACAAATGCACTGTCATTGTTAATAGGATATTTCCCAGCAAGGACTTCTTGTTATGCAAGCCAGGTCCGGTATGTCATGCCGCATGATAGCAATAAAGTCTACAAGAATTTGTAATGAACTTCAATTACTAATAGATTATGGTTAATGGGAAATATGTGCAGTAAAGATATGGGTTTTTATATGCGCCTTCTGGTATTCTATGAGGCAATGATTTATGCTACAATTTGTGTTAACATTTTCTACTATGAAAAGGCCCAATTTGGTAGAAAGCCACTTCACCATAACAAATATTTAAGATAATTTTGCACATAATATAAGTGAAGGTATAAAATTAGATATTAATCTATTTAATTCTAGCATTTTTATTTTTATTGAAAATGAAGACCTTTTTTCTTCTACAGAGTAGTACTGTTAAAAATTTTTACTATAAAACAAAAGCATGAAATACATTGATGTCTTTGAGTTAAATGTAACATCTTGTATGTTAATTTCTTTGTTTAACTTCCTTCTGTAATTAAGAACCCCACTAAAATTTGATATATACTGGTGTCTTGCTTATGCAAGTATTATTTTAAATTAAGAAAATACACAAGTATTCATGTTAAATTAAGATGAATTTGTAATCCACATCGTGCTTTCTTGCACCATAGAGGTTGACAGCTGGGATATAAATTTGGAAGGGTATATATAAATAATTTGTGTGTGTGTGTCTTTATGTCTGGATGTATATTACACACACACACACACACACACACACACACACACACACATTATATGTAGGCCAGGTGTGGTGGCTTACATCTGTAATCCCAGTACTTTGGGAGGCTGAGGCAGACTGATCACTCAAGGTCAAGAGTTCAAGACTGGCCTGACCAACATGATAAAACCCCATCTCTACAAAAAATACAAAATAACAGCTGGGAGTGGTGGTATGTGCCTGTAGTCTCAGCTACTGGAGAGGCTGAAGCACAAGAATCCCTTGAACTCAGGAGGCAAAGGTTGCAGTTAGCTGAGATTGCACTTCTTCAGTCCAGCCTGGGCTATAGAGCAAGACCCTGTCTCAAAAAAAAAAAAAAAAAAAAAAAAAAAAAAAAAAAAAAAAAAAAAAAAAAAAAAAAAAAAAAAAAAAAAAAAAAAATTGAAAAATGCTAACCAAACTTAGCCAGATGCAGACAAAAAAATCAAGAAAATTAAACTATAAAATTAAAAAATTCACAACAAGATTTCGTTAAATCATTGTGAATTTAAAATTCTGAAACCAGAGCAGTCACAATCTTAGGAACCCACCGAAAGCATTTTTACATCTCTAAAATGTGTGTTTGTGTTTGTGTTTGTGTGTGTGTGTGTGTTTAAAATTGCTAAAATTATTTATACACACCTTGGCCTTTAAACTCAAAAAATGTGTTTTGTTGTGGTTTTGTTTTGTATGAAACGGAGTTTCACCCTGTCTCCCAGGCTGGAGTGCAATGGCATGATCTCAGCTCACTGCAACCCCCGCCTCTGGAGTTCAAATGATTCTCCTGCCTCAGCCTCCTGAGTAGCTGGGATTACATGTGCCCATCACCAAGTCTAGTTAATTTTTATATTTTTAGTAGAGACAGGGTTTCACCATGTTGGCCAGGCTGGTCTCAAACTCCTGACCTCATGATCCACCCACCTTGGCTTCCCAAAGTTCTTGGATTACAGGTGTGAGCCACCATGCCTGACCCAGAAACTGTTTTTATGTTCTCTCTTTTCTTCTAATTCCTGAACTCATGTCTTTTCACAGATCCTGTATGATACATTCCAAATGGCAGGTACAGACTTACTGAACACCTATGTGCTCACTACTGCTTACTTAAATAATCTTTGAGCCATGATTTTTTTCTCTGAATGAAAACAGCTCTAAGAGCCTGTGAAAGACCTTCCTGTCTAAGAATTAAACACTTGGACTAAGGAGGAGGAAAAAAATCCAGAAAAGACTCCATGCTATCGCCTTTTAGCTTAGACTATGGGCAAGACTATCTAAACCTATCAAACCTCAGGGTCTTCATCTGAAAAATGATAATCTTAAAGACTGACTTTTTATTGTGAAAATAAAATAATATGTCAAGAATTTTATATAGTCCTTGGCAAATATAAGTACTCAATTCACTGCAGATACTATTATTATTAATTGCAGCAATTAGATAAATACTGATCTAGATAGGTAAGTGTATGATTTTAATGTTTCTGTAATTATTACTATTTTTTATAGTTGTAATATTCTTTTCACACCTCAATATATTGCAAGTTTCAGTGCTCCAGTGAGTCAGAAAATCACCTGGTCTGTTCATAAAGACAGATTCCTAAACTGCACACATGGTTCAGATTTGGGATGGAACAAGGAAATTTACATGTCTAAAAAGCCTCCCAGGTCATTCTTCAGTCCAAAGAAATTTTAAAAACAGTGCACGGGCACCATTCACAGAATCTGTTAACACTCATGTTTTTATGTTTTATTGAAATATAACGAAATACCATGATGAATGGCTAAGTCATCTGCTCATCTTCTGGGTATTTGACATAATTCAGATTAAATATCTAAGACTCAAGTGGCTGATAAGATGAGTTCCCTTCTCATCTTGATATTTTGGTCCCATTTGAAATCGTGTTTTTCCTCCAACACAGACATGCGCTTTCCTACTGTCAATATAACTTATGTTGTATTTTCCATGGTTTTTTTTTCTATTTTCATAATATTTCTTTTGGCTTCCTCTGCCAATTTAAAAAAAAAAGATTCTGAAACAGATGGGAAATATGTGGGTCAAATTAAGCTACCTGTGGTAGTTTGGGCATGGTTTCAGCTGCTCTGAGAAAGTTAACATTATACATTGTAACATCATAACATTCAATGTTACAATGTAACATTGCATAAAGTAACATTTATTGTAACATCATATGTTATAACATTCATTACTCTAAGAAAGTTAACATTGTATGTACAAGGTAGGATTCCCTTTCTCTCTCAGATAACACTCGGAGGGTGGGTAGTCCACCCCAAAATGGCAACTCTGCTCCATCAGGTCCAGGGATACGGCTCCTTCTACCTTGTTTCTCCACATTTCCTAGGGTGTTGCTGTCCTTGTCCGCATGGTCTGGCATAGCTGACTACCACAGCCACATTACAGCCGTCCAGAAGGTGAAAATGTAGAAGAGGAGAATATATCTCTTCCTTTGTCATCATGTTCCACAAATTGTGTTGTTTCTTCTCACATTCTGTTCCCTAGAACTTAGTCATATGGCTATATCAAACTCCAAGGGTGTATAAGAAATGTAGTCTTTATCTGGGCAGGCTTATTCCTAGTTAAAAATTAGACATTCTTTTACCATAGAAGGAAGGGAGAAGGGCTAGTCTCTGCACCTCACCTCATGACTGTCCAGCTGGAGCTACACTGGCCTCAATATTTGCTGTTAAAAACACTCTTGTCATCAGATACTTAGTAACTGAGGATATGTTTACACATGGTCAAAACAATGGATCAGTTCACTGGGATTGTCCTCTCTTGCTCAAGAGACCAAGCCACAGTCATATAGGAAATGCCTTTTGAAGATAATATATTTTACCTCTTAAAGATAATATATTTGGGGCCAAAGTTGATCAAGTCAAACAGGTACTATCTTCATACTAGAGTCACCAAGTGAGATACGCCCCTGGGAAATAGAATGAAAATTAAGAAGCTAGGAGATAGTTCCTATATGAAACTTAAAGAGGAGGAAAACGGACAGAGAATCAATGAAGGTCAACATTAAAGCAGGAAAGATGTAGTGGTTGTGAACATGGTCCCTGGGGTTAATTCGTGTGGGTTAGAATTCTGGCTGCACCAGATGTGAGAATGAGGCAGACATTATATAATTTAATAAACAATTTAAACCTCAGTTTTCTTCTTCTTGAACTGGAATAGAAATTGTAACTGATTCACTCATAAGCTTGTTATGAGGATTAGATTGCATAATGCCTACAAACACTTAACACAACCACGACATGTAGTAAGCCCTCAATAAATGTTAACTATTATTAAAATAGAGCCTTTTAAATCCCCTATAGTCTGTTTTATTTAGCAAAGAATCTTCCTCCAGGATTAACTCTTTTTCAAGCAGGAAACTATGAATTAGAGGGGCCAAAGAAAACAGAGGGAAGCAGCCAAGCTGAGGAGCCAGTGTTTGCACCACCATTCCTAGGACACACAGATGGGAACTCGCGAGTTGCCAACCTTGCCTAAACAAATCCATCCCATGAGGCTTCTTCTAGAGCAGTAAGCCCTGGCTAATTTCCTTGCCTGGGTAACTTACACAATGAGGAGTAAGTCCAAACTCTTCTCCCAATCAGTCCTGGAGAAATAAAAAACCTAATAAAAATAATTATAAACAAACTACAAGGATGGTAATGCACCTTCCATTAAAGGCTATTGTGGGGTAGATGAAGTCTGTTGGGGAATGTGCAGAATGGTGGCAATATCTTGCTAAATAAGCTAAGGCTGCAATGTGCTTGTGCTGATAATAAGTAGCATGGAACAACTGCCTCTTCTACAAACCCTGGGATTTATGTCCAGTCTGCCTGCATTGAAAACCAGAGAATAACTCATGAAACCCATATATCAACACATGCAGAAAAAGGAATCACAGTATAGAAATGAAATTATCATGAAATTAGTTAGCTGTAGAACATAAATAAAGGTACTGACACTTTTCTGCATCTTCTATAGCAAATGTCTTTGCAGAACTCACCAAGCTTGGGCTGTACCTGCTGGCTCCTGTGATTTACTTCAACATTTTCTATCATAGGCAGGTTGTTTGCAAAGTCCTTCAAGTATCATTAAGACAAATCAGGAAACACAGCTAATTCTTCAAGAGAAGAATATGATCATGGAAAGACACTTCTTATATAGAATACCTCCATGTGTCAGTGAAGCCTCCAGAACAGTGTCTTCTTGTATTTATTAATCCATTGCCACAGAGATTACTGCAATCTGACTCAGAGCCCTAATTAATTTTTGGCACATTTAGAAATTGTGACTGTCGTTACCCAGGGAGCCTCTTAAATCAACCCCCCTTTTACTGCAGTTGCCTTTTTATGGTGTATGTCACATTCAGAAATGGATTACATGATCCTTAGCTTTAACTATCTTGTATTAGTTGATCGTGGACTACGGATATGTATTGCACAGTTTATGAATCATAGGGGAGCTAGGATATGGATGACAGATAATTTAAACATGAAATTGGTGATGTTTGGGACATGGTAGGAGTAGAGGCAGAGAAATACAGGCAGAAGTCAAAGCAACGAGATGGAAAAGTCAGATATTTATGACAAGCTTAAAATGAAGTTGTTAGTGAAGTGCAGTATTTAGAAAGAGTGCTATCTCATTATTCAAGGAGGTGCTTTTTTTCATACTACTCTTTGATCTTCTGATTGCTTCTTCTTCGCTTTTACAATCAGATCCCTTTCAATTTACAAGTGGATATTTAGGGACAATGGTGATTTAGTTCTATGAAGTCATACTCTGCATCTAAGATGAATGAAGATCACAAATTTAACTTGGCCAATATGTAGACATACAGTGTGAATCAGTAGATACAGGGTTTGGCTAACTTCTTGTTATCAACTTGCTTTGGGAGCTGGGTTAAATTATTCAATGGAGCTAGTAGCTCCATTTCCTCACTTATGAAATAGGATAATAATAACTAATCTTTCTAATTCATGAGGTAAGAGCCAAATAAGATCTTATATGTTGCTCTATCTAAGACATTTGGAAGGCAAGAGGCAGACAGCCACAAGGATACCTGGAGTAAAAGGGTATTTGTTTTCAGGTTAGACATAGACAGGAATAGAAATTGCAAAGACCCTTCCTTGAGACAGCCAAAGCTCATCTCCCATTCAAAGCCCATGTGTTCTTACACTCCTGGCATCTCTCATTCTCTCTGCAAGTTGGTTCCATGCCTCTCCTTCAAACTGTGGCATCCCAGTGAGGTTTTCCCACATGTGGCCCACAGTGGTCACTCTAGACTTGAATCTATCTTGGGACCTTTCAGCTCAGCTACTATAGAAAGCCACCTTGCCTCCTTACTGTTCTTTAGATATGTCTTGCTCATTTCCACATCAGGGCCTTTGCATTTGCACTTCTTCAAATGTACTGCTCCCAACTCTGTGCCTGGTTTCCTTCTTCACTGCATTTCAATCTCTGTTCAAATCTCATTCTTTTAAAGAGTTTCCCTGATCACTCCACTTAATATTACAACATCTGGTACTCTTTTCCCCTTATTTACTTTTATTTTCTTAGTACTATCTATTATTCTCTGACATATATTTATTTTTTTGTCTATTTCATTCACTAGAAGTCAGGTCAGTGAGGTCTGGAATTTTGTCATTGTTGTTTTTGCTTTACTGTGATACATCCTTTGCTTAGAAAACTCCCTCACACCTAAGAGGTGCTAAATAAATATTGATGAATTGTATATATTTTGAATAAGTGAATGAATGTCTCATTGCCCAAGATTTGTAATTCTGAATTTTTAAGATAATTTTTAATGGATGCATTTCATAATTTTCAGAAAGACTGTTTCATCAATTTCTGCTAGCTTATAAGTAAGTTTCTATCCATGTGTCAGCTGCTCACCCCATAGTCTAATCAGGTGGAGTTGAGATGGGGCCATGTCTTATAGTACTGAGCACAGGCACTTAGAGCATGGGGCGCTAAGGGAGGCAGATACCTTAAGGTAGGGCTTGGATGGCACAATCCTGATGGCACCTTGAGTCTCTTGGAGGACCAGCTTAGCTCTGAAAGACACAGAGGCCATCTTCCTGTGGCTAAGAATCTCAAGGTCGAAACTAGGTGAGCTCCTACAAGTACTAGCTCTCTGGCCTTAGTTGTAATTTTCCTTAAACTTTTTATTTACTCTGCATTTTATGTTGAGTCCCCATGAGTAACTAATAACAGTGGTAGTTAATATTTCTAAGCATTCCTAATGAGTCCAACACTTTATGAGTATATTTGCAAAGCCTACTTAACTCCTGGGCTTCTCATAACCATATTCTATGGTAGATACTATGATTCACTTCATTTTGCAAATGAAGAAATATGAGAATAGAGAGAAAATAAGTTGCCTCAGGTCACTTGGTGAGTAAATAATACAGCCAGAATTTGTACCCAGTAAGTCTGGCTCTACAGCTTTATTTAACAAGGTGATTTTAATCTACTCGCTCCACTGTGGGACTTTGCAAGAAGCTCGCATTTTCTTAGAAGGAACATTCTGATGATGTGACACATATAAATATGATTTCAATACTAAAGTATCATATGCAAGCCATCCTCATTAACCAAACATCTAAAATACATTAAATATACGTTCAGGTCTGTGCAGCTTCACAGACTTAAGATCTAGTATTTCCTATAGCAGCTGCATCTCTTTTTATGGGTGTGCATTAGAAATTACTTAATTTTTATGGCCCAGAGTGGTAGCTTTTTTAATTAAGAAAGTCACCAACTTTTATAATAAGCAAATATCAAACCCTAAAATGCTGTGCTCCACATCATGCTTTCCCTTTGGATTTTGGCAATATACCCTAACAATGTGTGCAAAAAAGTGTCTGAAAGAGTCCTCAATAAGTTAAGGTTTACACTCATACGAATGGCAACACATAATTTTATTGGGTTCTTGAGCTCTCTTTATAATGATAATATGAACGCATAAGGTATAAGATAAATGTTTGAGAAGGAAAGAATTCATTGATCCCTCTTTACGTAGCATTTACCATACACAAGGCACCATGTTAAACACTGAGAGATCCACAACGATACATAAAACAACATTCCAAATTCACACTGAGCACTTTTTTCTGAAACAGAAGAATAAACCTGGAAAGTCAATATGTGACTGCCCCAAATTTTGGCAATATCATACAGTGCAAGAAGAAACCAGGGATAAGTCTATCCCTTAAACTTATATAGCTTCCCATTGCTAACTAGTAGGTTTACATGTGAATTTCTCTCTTCAAAAAGGTGTGTGTTTCAATTGCATTAAAATTAAACAGGTGAGAATTTATTTATCCTGTATACTAAGGGTTTAATAAGGATGAGAAAAACGCCATATTTACAAACACCAATCTATGGACTGCAATTCTTTTGTATCTTTAAATAGCATTGTTAGTTCTATTTTTGTTTTTGCACGTGTGCTTTTTACAAAAGAATCTGTAAAGTCTTGATTTCCAACCTTCTGGTGAAGTTGTTCAAGATCTTCATGGCCCCATACCCATCGATCATGTGTACCTCACAGATTTCCTTTGTCAGTAGTACATATCAGTATGATTAATGGTTCAGTGCTCATATTCAGGAATCTGATCGGATAACTGTCGTTTAATTTGTTGGAATTTATAATTCAAAAAGCATTGATGAAGTTGTCCACACAAAGAGAGCAATACAAGTTTTACTTATTATGAACAACAAAGCTTGGTAATTTATTAGTGTAAATAGGTTCTCTATGCCAGTGTATTCCCTGGGGATAACTAGGTGATTGAGAGGGGTCATTTAACTTTTTAAAGTGATTATACTACAGCATTAAGCGAAAGCCATTACATCAAAGAATGAGTATCACACTGTGTTGAAGGCTTCCTCACTGGCAGAATGAGGGCCATGAGCTGTTTAGTAAAACTTACTTTTGTTCTGTTTCTGACAGGGAGTAGTAATTATTTACATACTTAAAATATTTATGTATTAATTATTAAATTAGTTATTTACTTATCTAAAGATATGTACTGTTTATGTCTAAAATGACAGAGGGTTATCATTAGAAATAAAATAAAAAATCAAATATGTTTTCAAAAAAACCCTGAAATCCTACAGTCCAAAGATAACTCTTAGTCTTATAGGAGGTCATAAGAATGACATAAGAGACTATGAAGTATCAAAATGCATTGAAAGTTTTCTAGAACCTTGCATTTACCAAATTCCTAGAAATCTGGTAAAAGGTGCATTTCAAACTAGTAAATTTTTTACTTTTGTGTTTTTTGTTCTTCAATAAATTTTGTTTATACATCTGGCTATTATTTTAGGGGAAACAGTTTGTTCTCACTGTTTATACCTACCTAGTTTCAAACATATTATAGATTTCTTTTTTCTAAAAAAAAAAAAAAAAAAAAAAACTGTAATTTTATTTTAATAAAATATGTTAGTGTTCTAAAATCTCGGTTTTAGAAGGTCTTTTAAAATTTTTCAGAAGACCAGACTTAAAAAACAAACAAATTTGGCTAAATATAATAGAAAATTTTCAGTATATCAAAAAGACAAACAAAAATGTTATTCATGGATAAAATTACAAGAGAAAAGAATGGGAAGAAATGACAACACATGATAAAGAATTAATTTTGTAATATTGTAAAGGTACTTACTCTTAAAAAGTAATACAAATAAGATAGAAAATACAATAGAAGAATGTATAAAGACAAACACTTCTTCACAAAAGGGCCAAATCAGTAACATGGGCTTTGTGTTCAAAGTATTTACAAGTACGTATTTCACTAATAAAGAATCCATAGTATATATTTTATTAGTTATTCTAGAAAAATTCAGACAATCAGGAAATGGATTGAATTTTATTGTCAATAAGTCATGGAAATTCAGTTGCAACACAGGCTTTGTGTTCAAAGTACTGATAAGTGGATACTTCACTAACAAAGAACCTATAGTGTATATTTTATTAGTATTCAAGAAAAATTCAGACAATCAGCAAATGGAATAAATTTTGTCATCAACAAGCCATAGAAATTCAGTTGTCTAATTTTTCTAGCTTATGTTATATTGAGTCTGCATGTGATGTCTCTACCTGGAGGAGGGACAAGATAAGACCAGCAGTATCCCACATGGAAGTCCAATAATGTCTTGGAATTCTCTGCATCTCATATGAAAACAGTGCTTTATTTACATCAATGAATGTATTTGTAATTTAATATGGAAATAAATGAGTGATCAGAGTCGTTCAAAATGTAATTTTTAAATACACTTTTGTGATTGATAGTTATGCCTCAATCACTATGAAACTCAGACTATTATTAAAAAGAACCTTACCCTCTTTCTTAGCACTAAATTCAGGCTCTTGTAGATCTTTTGCAATCTCTGCTTTGAGATCAGGTGGTGCTGTGGCATTAAAGTTACAGGTTTCAGTCAAAAAATCCCAAAGCAGGTCTCCATTTTCATTCCCATCAATAAAGCAGTCAGATATGTCCATGGTGGACAAAAGGTCATAGCACTCATACTTAAGCCCTAGGTTGTCCAGCATCTGAGTGAGGTCAGATGATGTGATATACAGGCAGAGGTCATCCCTGGGTAAGCGTGATCCATACTTTTCCCACAGCTTGGCCCAACCACTGCTTCCTGTGCAATAGAACAAAATTCATACTTTCAATTCTTCTTTCTTTCATTTGCAGTCTGCCAGAAAGTACACTAGATGCTTAGGATAGAATGGTGAACAACATAATAATCTTGTTCTTTGTGGAGCTCACATTTCAAGGAGTACGGGAGGAAAGAGAAAATTAAGTAAGTAAATACATGGTGATAAGTGCTAAATGAAAAACTAATCTGAATAAGTGCTAAGCGGGTTAAAGACTTTGATGGGCTCCTGCTTTAACTAGGGTGATCACAGAGTCTCTCTAATAACCTGACATTTCAGCAGAGACCTAACTTCATGCAAGGTAGATATCAGGGGGAAGATGACTCCAGGAGAGATACGAGCAGCTGCAAAGGACCTGAAGCAGGAAGATGCTTGGCTAGTCAAGAACTAGCTAAGAAACCAGTGAAATTGGAGCTGAATGAGAGAGGGCAGAGGGGAAGGAGATAAGGTTGGAGGGGTTAGAGGTGGGGAGTGGATGAGGTGACAGATCACAGGAAGCCCAATGGAAAACCATTGTGGTGCTGTCTTATAGACCTTTCTGAACCAGTGGACACATTCTACATCTGCATTGTCCAGCGGGATTGTCACTCACCACTTGTTGCTATGGAGCACTTGAAAGGTGTCTTAGGACTGAGTTTCCAGTGTGACTGAAGACCTAAATTGTAAGTTTCATTTCGTTTTAATTAATTTCAGTTCCAATTTCACTACCAAAATGTGATTTCTGTATGGAACAGCACATTAGGGTGACATAATACACATTTAATAAGGTCACCTGGGCCATACAGATGAGAAGAGAGTACTGGAGCATAAGGACGAGGTGGGGAGAACTGCCAGAAGGCTACTGGAATCACCTGGGGGATAGGTGGGGGCAGGGTGGGGGCTACGATAGACCAGTTAGCTGGGAGGTAAAGAGAAGTGGTGAGAGTTTTTATGTGATATACTCCTAGATCCAACAGGACAAAACAATTCGGATGTAGGTTATGGGCAAAAGGAAAGAGTCAGAGTGATGATTGCAGTGATTTCTGCCTGGGCACCTGAGAAATCAGAATTGCCATTATTGGAGAGGAGAAGAATGAGGGACAAGCAGTTTTGCATCATCAGGCCTCTGGTTTCAGGAATATAGATTTGAGATATCTACTGGACATTCAGATGGTAATATGAGGAAGATAGTTGTTAGTCTGCAATTCAGACAAGAGTCTTTAAGAGTAAAAATTAAAATGGAAAGAAAGAGCACAGTAAATGATCATTTATTCAGAGCAATAATTTTTTACTCTCATCCCTATATAAAACAAGATGCTGCTTTGGGCTGACAATAACTAGGTGGATTTCTATAAATCTTGTCCCCAAGTTTAGAAGACCTTTTAGCAACGTTTATAGTATTTAATTGAAAATCTAGCCCTGCAGAGAAGCTAAGAAAAACCTTATCTGAGGGAGACAGACATGAGCTGAACTCTTCTTCCGCTGCTTTATGAATGAGATGAGACTTGTTATCTAGCCTCTCAGAACTTCAATTTCCTCATCTGTAAAATGGGGATTATCATACTTACCTTGAATGCAACCACAAGCATTACATGAGATAATTTAAGTGAATTATTACATAATGGTAAGCACGTGGAAGATGTATGGTAAGTACTTATAAGATAAATGAATTAGTTTGCTAGTGTATTTCCACTAATTGCAATCTTGAGACTAAAAGAGCAAACCTGCTGTTCAAAAATATGTAATAATAGTAATGAGTTTATACTTATGGGCCTTCTAATAATATATGCATATTATATACACAGTGAGTACAGGGAGGTAATAAAAAGCATGGTCTTTAAAACCCAACTGCCTGAGTATGAAGCCTGGCTTTCCCTCTTACCAACTTTATGAACCCATGTCTCAGTTTTATCTTCTGTCAAACAGGGGTGATAATATAATCAATTCATAGACTGCAACAAGGATTAACTGAGTTAGTAAAGTAAAGGCCCTTAGAACCATGACACATTAGTTAATGTTGCTCAAGTGTTAAATTGGACTTGGCAAAAGGAATATGAGAGACAACCTATACTTTCTATGTGCTTGTAGAATTAAATGTCTTGAGGGTTTTTTGGTTCCCAAGTCCCCTTTATGGTCTAATGAGAGCAACTGACTCTCCAGAAAAATACACAACAATACATACCCACACAGCTCTGAATATGATTAGAGAATGCTCAAAGGCCCTTGGCTTTCATCCACAGATTAAGCTAAATTTCCCAGATTAATTCAACCCAAGAGATTATCCAAGACAAATAATAGGCTAAGTAATAAGCAGCCTAAGATAATTGATGTTCTACTACTATTTCAGAAAAGGAAGAGCTAACTGCAGGATATGCCCTAGGAGAAGGTGGAATTGGAATGAAGCAGAAAGCATAAAACCTCCATTCAATGAAAGTAAATGAGGGTTGTATTTATTAAAAAATCTTTCATTCCAAAGACAGCGAATTGTCTTCCCAAATAAGAGTTTGCCGGCAAACAAGACATTATAAGAAAATAAGCATTTCAGCGGTTGAAGGGAGGCTCTGTTACCATCATCATTATTATTTTTAACCTGGCAGAGAAAAAAGAACCAAACACTAATTGCAGAAAATTTGCTGGTGTCAGTGCTGTGACTCGGTGCCATTTCGGAGCTGAGCAGTTACGCACTCCCTGACTGATGCATTATCATGATGGCTCTCGGTGGGCACAACATATGGTGTTACTTTTGTTTTCAACGTGATATAAACCAGATTCTTTTTTTCTCACTGCACTAAAAATAACACACAGTGATTTGCCTCCTTCCTTAGTCAGGTAAGGAGAGGACAGACAGAAAGCTTCAGGGATCTCCTTCTGGCTCGTCTCCCTTAACCTGACAGGCCACCTTTTAAATAGCAATGCTCCCAGTTGATGCTAGGCTACAACATTTGCAGAAAAAAACATTTCTTTGACGTCATTTTAGTGTGGGATACTCCACGTTTTTTTTAAAGAAATCCAACTCTCTTGTTTTTATGTCTCTTCTTTTTTATCCCCAAATCAAATTTCTTTCATCTCCATTATCAGGAACTTCTGCTAGTTATCGCTAAGTGACTGTCTCTTGAGTTGGGATAGTTCTGTAATGGATATTCAGGAGCACAGAGAAAAGGTTGATTTCTGTCAAGCAACATGTATTTCAATAGGATGACCAGTAAATGTTGTCATTTAATTCTGATTTCAATTTCTTTTTCTTTCCCTCATGAGTTTTACTTGTTTGTTCTTCATTGCTTTTGTCTGGCTGCTTCCATTTGCTGTGTGTGTGTGTGTGTGTGTGTGTGTGTGTGTGTGCCTTTTTTATTGAACTTTTTATTCCTATTTATTAAACTCCATCTGCAAATATCCAGAACTTCCTGTGTTCTCTGATTTCATCAAGTCAGTTTTAGCTGAAATATATTCTCTTTTTTTTTTTGTATGTTCAGAGCTTATTGTAGTTCTGATATCATAAGGCAGAAATAATAAACAATTATTCAGCTTAATTAAAACATACTTACTGAGTATTGCCTTTGTGCCAAAGTCTTTACAAAGATCTAGGAACAGAGATGAGAGACACTGCTCTAAACAAACTCTTCTGAATCTCCCTATATGCCTCCCTATATACCGTGAGTACTCAGTTTTGTGCATTGCAGAGCAGTTATGGAGGACAATATTACCTTGAAACAAATGTGCAGGATACTTCCCTTTTAGATAATTATGAGGCAAATTCAATTTAGAAAGTGACTCAAAGAATCTTGATAAAAACAGAAACTAGTGTGAACGAATGTGGTATAGGTATTCCAAATTCTAAAACAATATTCAGCTTTAGAAAATGTTTCAATCCGTTAAGCAAATGAAAAATGGCGTTTCAAGAATTATAGTTCTGGCAGAGAAGGCAAGGTAGGCAGTGGTTCCTAAACAGGGGTTAGGATGAATGTAGATGGAACACCTCAGCTGATGAGGTTTCTCAAACTTGTTTTCTATTCACAGGCTAGTCTAGCAGATAGGAATTTGAAGCTACATCATTGAAAGAAAACAGTGACTAGTAATTACGTGGATCATTCCTATTTGCCTTCACTGATATCGATATGAAAAAGCCTAATTGGAAATTTCTTGTGATCAAATTTGTTCCCAATGTTGGAAACTGGACTTGATCTATTTTTCCAAAAGCCAACCGACATATTTGTATTGGGTATGTTAATATAACAAAGCAAGTATTGCTATTTTTAAAAATAGGAACCTACAGTCACCTTCATGCACCAAGGAGGCAAAATAATTTATCTCAGGGAAATGTGTTGTTGTTAAGACAGGTTCCCGGGTGCACAGGCTTATCTATATGATAGAAACAGAACAAAAAGGAATTAAACTGCTCTATAAGAGGGTTGCTGGGTCAACTGGTAATTCTGCTTTTAGCTCTCTGAGAAATTGCCATACTGCTTTCCACAATGGTTGAATCACTTTATACTCTCACCAACAATGTAAAGTGTTCCTTTTTCTCCACAACCTCATCAGCATGTGTTATTTTTTTGACTATTTAATAATTGTCATTCTGACTGACATTAGATGGTATCTCATTGTGGTTTTGATTTGCATTTCTCTAATGATCAGAGATATTGAGCTTTTTTTCAAATGCTTGTTGGTCACATGTATGTCTTCCTTTGAGAAATGTTTATTCATGTCTTTTGCCCACTTTTTAATGGGGTTGTTTATTTTTCTCTTGTAAATTTGTTTACGTTCCTTGTAGATGATTTGTCAAATGCATAGTTTGCAAATATTTTCTCCCTTTCTGTAGGCTATTTACTCAGTTGATAGTTTCTTTTGTTGTGCAGAAGCTAGTGAGTTTAATTAGATCTGATTTGCCAATGTTATCATTGCTTTTGGTGTCTTTGTCATGAAATCTTTGACTGTTCCTGTGTGCAGGATGGTATTGCCTAGCTTGTCTTCCAGGGTTTTCATAGTTTGGGGTAGTCCCTAACCCATCTTGAGTTAATTTTTGTATATAGAACAGGAGTCCAGCTTCAATCCTCTGCATAGAGCTAGTCGGTTATTCCAGCACCATTTATTGAATAGGGAGTCTTTTCTCCATTGCTTGTTTTTGTCAGCTTTGTCAAAGATCAGATGGTCATAGGTGTGTGGCCTTATTTCTAGGCTCTATATTCTGTTCCATTGGTCTATGTGCCTGTTTTTGCACAGTACCATGCTGTTTGGTTATTGTACTCCCCCTTATTATAGTTTGCAATCCCACTACTGGGCATATACCCAGAGGAATATTAATCATTCTACCATAAAGACACATGCACATAGTGTTCATTGCAGGATTACTCACAATATTGAAGACATGGAATCAACCTAAATACCCATCAAAGACAGACTGGATAAAGAAAATGTGATACCTATACACCATGGAATACTATGTAGCCATAACGAAGAATGAGATCATGTCTTTTGGGGAAACATGGATAGAGCCAGAAGCTATTGGCTTTATAAAACTAATACAGAAGCAGAAAACCAAATACTGGATGTAAAAGATTGCTGAATGCAAGAGATAATAAATGCTGACCTCAACAATGTCAATGTTTCATTATCTAAAAATGTTCACTTGTGTTCTCTGTGTGATACTTACTATATCCCTGGAAGCAACTGGACATGCTCACATGCCTCCTTGGATAATAAAATACCAACACAAAACACAAAACAGAACAAAACAAATAAACTGTTTATGATAGGCATTTGAAAAAAACCTATGGTGAGCAGTTGATCATGGCTCTAAGAATGCGAATGATGACATCTGACTATTTAAACTTTTTTTACTAATAAACATCACAGAGAGAAAACAGACATTTAAATGACAAAGTAAGTAAAATAAATATTTACTATTTTTAGTCTCATTTAGAAACTTGTGTCAGTTGAATTTGCTCTAAGCTATAAAAAGGAATTCATATATAGAAGACAAAGACATATTTTCCCAAAAGAAAGAATATTTACTTAATTCTAAATTGAGAACTGGTTTGAATGACTTCCCTAGTACTGTGAAAATTAACTGGCAATGATTAGAGGCCAAGGCAAGAATTTCATAATGAAGACAAAATATATAAGCTTCCTTCAAACACAGGAATCCATGCATATGTGTATTATTGCTGTTTTAAAATTTGGGGTGAATGAAAATAACTTACCTGACACAAGAATAATGAGCATCTTAGCACTGGTACCTAAGAGACTATGGAAGAATGTCAGGGTAGCTGGGACATCTTTTACATAATACAACATCTAGAAAAGAGGAAAAAGAGAAATGAGATGCTTCTCTATGTTGAAGTCTTTATTGCTTGGGCTAGATACTCCTAGAAAATTTGATTTTCTAGTTGAGTGAATTTTTACCCAGTAAAACACTTAAGAAATTCAAAGATCAAAGACATTGCATGGAGACATTGAACAATAATGTGAAAAAATATTTGGGGAAAGGGAAAAATATGGTATTTGTTCAACTAGAGTCAAATGGTTTTAAATTTACTCTTTCTGGCTTCCATAACACAGACATTTATAGCTGGAGACAGTCACCATTCCACATGGGGACATGAATCCTATGTCTATTCTATAATTCGTGAATTGCAGTTCTTCTGGGAGAAAATGGTCCCAGCACCATAAAAACAGACCCCATTTCATGGAATATTGCTTTACAATTAAGCCCTTTGCACTAGCTTCTCCATATGCTCACAGATGCTTTTTTTAAAAGCACAGAAAATGTGACAGGCTCTGATGATGACAGATTCTCTAGGAAGCTGGACTAAATAAAGCATGAGGTTATCTTCTTGGACCCAGGGTGTTTAGGGGTCAGCCCACCCATTTTTAATGATTCTGAACCAATCCCTAGTGAAGTACAGGACTTTCCACCCAATACACAGAGCTTAGACTTATGCGTTGGCAGGGGAAACTGTCCCCCATGGCTTGCATCTTTGGACCCTACTCCTATAGACACTTGTTGTATCTCATCTTCCTCTTAGTTGGACAAGAATTCAATGTTCCATATAGCCTGTCCTTACAGAACTCATTGCATAAAGGAAAAGTAATTTAGCTATGCCTCTTTCGTAAGAATGAATGAAATAAAATTTTACATGGCTCATGGTGCCTTGGGGGCCACACTCCACATTTTCCACCAGAGGGACCATAGGCAGGTAGCCAAATATAGTGAATCAATATGATGGCTAACAATCTACTATGTGACCTGGCTAGAAATGCAGAGGTAAGCTATAGAAGGTGCCTTAAATTTTTCTTGAAGGCAGTCAAATTTTCAGAATTGACAGTGAGGTTGTAAAAGTATCATGAGAATGTGAGGACTGTAATGAGTAATAGAGAGGAAGAGATGCTGCACAGAAAAATGGGGCATAGACAGAGATGAAGAGAGAGGAACAGACTTGCAGAGGGAAACAGACTTGCTGTAAGAAAGAAGGAACAAACATAGAGGTTTTGAGAGAAATAGGAAAGAGAAGCTGACTCCTAAAATCAAATTTGTAACAGAGAAAAGAATGGGATCCAGTGATAAGCAGAGGGAGTGGTTTTTGATAAGAGGAGGTTTTTGCAGTAAGATGGAAGAAGGAGATGATGGCAGAAGTGTAGTTATGTTTGCAAGGTTAGTGGGTGAAAAACGAGCTTCCATCTGATAGTTTCTGTTTTCTCTATACATTATGAAGTGAGGTCATCAGTTAACAATGAATGGTCTGGGAGAGATTGCAGGAGTAGTAAGGAGAGAGAGGAGTTATGAAATAGTTATGAGAGGAAGTGAGAACAAAAGCAAGTCTAGCAGGGAAAGATCTTGGCTTGCTGGACAGTGAGAACTACTACCTGACAAAAGATTTTATCAGCGAAAGGAGCAGAGACATAAAATTGCCTGCATATGATGAAATTGGAGTATTTCTTCCTTTGACTTCTTGTAAGTTTATTCCTTTGGGGTGACTATCATTGTAGACCAGGAAGAAAAATAGTGTTTTGTTGTCAATCAAGTGGTATTTCCAAAATAGGCACATCTCCTGATGATAGCCAACTTCCAAAACCCATACATACATCTCTATGCTATTCAGAAATATTAATTATATCTGGGAATCCAGCCCCATGCTATCTACTCAGTTGTCACTCCCTTTCTATGACATGTATGAGTCAGTTTGTTGGATCTGGATGATGGAAGTAAAAATTTCTTAAGCTGAGGCATTACTTAATCTGCCCCTGTGACCCTATGTCCACTACAGAAACACTCTGGGAGATTGGTCCACCCAAATCATTAGAGCCACTACAGAATATGTTATGGTGCTATCATTCTCAAATCTGTATATAAACATTCAATGATATAAAAATAAAGACTGGGTGCAGTGGCTCACACCTATAATTCCAACACTTTTGGAGGTTGAGGTGGGAAGATCACTTGAGCCTGGGATTTCAAGATCAGCCAGGGCAACATAGTAAGACCCTATCTCTACAAAAAAAAAAAAAAAAAAAAAAAAAAAATTAGTTGGGTGTGGTGGTGCACACCTGTGGTCCCAACTAACCAGGAAGCTGGAGTGGGAGGATTGCTTAAGCTCCAGCGGTTGAGGCTACAGTGAGCTATGATCATGCCACCACACTCCAGCCTGGGTGACACAGTGAGTCCCCTATCTCAAAAAAGGAAATAAGAATTAAGCTAGCATTTTAAAAAATGAATAACTGTAGAGGTATTAAAGAAAAGTGGTTTTTGAATGTTAAAGAGAATCTTAGTATTAGAAACGTATTTATCCTTCATTTGGACAGATCATGGTCACTTGTAAAATTAGACATCAGATTCTCATTTTTCTTTTAAAAATTAGAATAGTAGGCATTCATAATACATATATCTGAAAAGTCTTCTTTCTGAGTATAAATTATAACATATATTTCTTACCTGAATCATATGAATAAAGTCCCACTTTTGAAGCTCCTTTTTCTCCAATATTCTACTTTGATATTCAGATGATGTCTCCTTATGCCAAGCAAACTTTATGTTCTTGAGGTTTGATGTCTTGGCTACAAGCTCTAAAATACAGGGAAGAGGTGACACACCATCAATTTTAATTGCAAATGCGGAACCCATTTCCATTTAGAATTTTAATGCAATCAATGTTATATACATAACAGATATAAAGCACATTTTTCTTTTTTATGTCTGAGAGACCAGAGAGTTCATACTGCTTTTTTTTTCCTAGTATTTAATGAAATTAGAGGTGAAAGAAAGAGTCAGTAAGAAATAATTACAAGAACCCTGGGAAGACATAGGTTATATTGTCTTAGTATTAATGAAGAATCAACTGGTGAATTTTATCAATGCAAAGTGAATATGAAACAGATGATATGTTTGTATAATTCAGGAGTAGGCAAACCACAGTCTAGGAACTACATGTAGCCTGCTACTTATTTTTGTATGAACTGCAAACCAAAAACATATATTGTTCTACTTCCTGATTTTGTGTCACTGCCGTTCATATTTCATGTCATTATATTTTTGAATGTTAAAAAAAATGAAAGAAGGATGCTATATCATATGTGAAAATATATAAAATTGAAATTTTAGTGTTTACAATTACAGTTTTATTGAAACACACCCATGCTCATTAGTTTACCTTTTTTTTTTTTTTTTTCCTGCCAGCTAATCAACATGACAGGTTGATTAATTGTGACAGAGACTGGATTGACCTTCTGAGTCTAAAATATTTACTATTTGGTCTTTGCCAGGAAATGTTTGCGAAATTTTGCTGTAACCCACTAAACATAAGCTCTTAAAAATTGATGTAAATAATTCTGAATCAATGAATGAATCTATACCTAAGCATAAAGATCAAAAAGTTATTGCTGATGACAACTGGGGAATGGATAAAACATCAATAGGAAAGAGGAGTTTAATTATTTGCTCTTCACATTTTGAGATGTTTAGTCATGCCTGCCAAGAGCTAATTCAGTTCTTCTCCCAATAAGCTTGTGAAGAGCATGCCACAGTAACTCTATTATTGATCATTTAAGTTGATTTGTCATTTGAGTTGATAAGGCTTTGGGGATAGGATCTGGTATAGAGCACCAGGAGTTACAGATACCTTTATACTTGGCAATTTGCTCAGCACTTGGCTCAACAACTTCATTGTTGATACAAACTCCTGGGTATTGAGCCTGAACTTTGGAGAGAATTTGAAGATCAATTTCACCTAGAAGATAAACATATGGGACAGGTCACATCACTCCAGCAAGAAATTATCAAAAACAATTCTAGCTGATTTATTATCTGCCCTACTTTTACCAGGAAAGCCTAGCATAAGTAAAGAATTCTTCAACTGCTTCCCTGCCGTGAGGCCTGTAATGTGGAATATTAGGTTCTAAGTAGGCATAGTCATGTGACTCAAGGAGGGCTGTGAGTGTCATTCATTTATTCATATGATCTTTAATATCTATTACTATATTTCATCAAATCAAATATGCTGTTGATTGTAGAAGGAAATTAACCCTTATCATTCTTTCACCAAGTTAGAAAAAAAAAAAAACTTTCAATTATAATTTTAAGGTTTTATCAACTGAAGAACATAATATCAGAGGTATTAAAATATGAAAAAAAATTCATTTTAGAATTGGTAGAGTAGCCTAAGCCGGAAGAATACAAAAAAAAATGTCAGATTTAAAAAAGGGCACAAGTATATATCAGGTAAAATAAAGAAGAAAAACATGTCAGATATCTGCCCTCATAAACACTATTACCTGTGACACAGACATTGAAACGTCCTTGGCTCAATTGAATCATGGTAGGAAGAGGGAAGAGAACATGTGGGGGAGAGAATGAGAGATGAGGCCAGAGTGATGGTGCTTTATCAGGGAAAATCACTTGTGAGCTCTGTCTCTTCCAGGGTAAGTGGGAGTTAGTCCAGAAATTGTGGGGAAGTGAAGAATCTCAGGTATTGGGGACAAGATAACAGACACACAGACCAAAAATAGAAGAGTATATTCGGAACTACTAGCAGTCTGGATTTCTTAGAATATTGAGCAAGGCAGGACCTCCAAGCAAGAGGTGATTCCAGAAAGGTATGCAGAGCAAGGCAGATATTTATTCATTCATTAATTCGCCAACTGTTAATTGACTGTTTACTATGTTTCAGGCACTGCACTAGGCTCTATGGAATGATTATAAGAAGAGCAGGTAGATCCGTTCCCTGGTGAAATGCAGCCTCTAAGGGATAGTGTAAGAAAGATGACACTAAGTCAGATGGACTTGAATTTTAAACCTGTCTTCTTCACTTGCTAGGTATATATGACTTTGGGCAACTTGCTTTACCTGTCCAAGCTTCATTTCTTTTTATTAGAAAAATAAAAATAATCATAGTAATTTATTAATTGTGAGGGTTAAATGAAGTAATACATATAATGAATGTATAGTGCAAAATAAAGTTGACACTGATTAAATGTTAGCAGTTCATTATTTTTATTGTTATCTTGAGTCCATCTCTTTGAAAATATCTCTTCTCTCCCTATTGCTGATGCCTCCAACTTAAGTTTTGCACTTTTATTCAATTAGGTTATGATGTTGACCTTCATTAAAACTGAAATACCTCCTGGTAAGATTAGCACAGGAAAATGATGTCAGTCTTTAACATTTGGCATAAATGACATTAACAGAGCCTTTCCAATGTTGCACATGGCATGCAGCAAAAGTAGAAGTCATAAGACTGGGAGGTCTGGAAGGAAGAAGATAAGGGAGATAAACCAGGAACAGAAGATGCTAAACTAGGAAAAGAGAGCAGTCCAGGTCATATGAGAGCCCCCAAGTACTGGCAATAGGAGATGGTTTGCATGGTGTGTGTGGAGGGAAGAAGGGAGAGTGGGAAGGAAGCTGAAATAGAGTATGTCACTTATGTGACAATTTTCTCCAAATTCAGCCCTACCTACATGAAATCATGTATTTCTTCACTGATAACTACAGTTGCCATTTATTTTGGCCACCTACTATTTGCCAAACACTAAACCAGGCTCTTTACCTGGAACATCTCATGAATCCTGACAGCAAGTTCCATGATGTTATTAATATCCCAGCTTCATTAGTTGACTTGAGTATGTTGACATTCAAGGGATATTGATATACCTGAAGTTTAAGGCACATTTGTCTAAACCTACAATGTTTGTTCTTCTAACCACTTCAACTAAGAGGTCGAAAGATAACAAATACTAAGAAGACACAAAAAGCCCTTTATTCTTCTGTTCAGCAGCTATTTTGCAGGGAAAAAAATATAAGACAAAAGGCTGATAAGGATAGCTGTGGGCTAACGGGAAATAGATTCCTGCTTGCCCCCAAAAACCAGAGACCAAAAGTTTCTGTTCTTGCCTCCTATTAGCCTAGCCATACATTTCAAATGAAAAAATTATCAATTATGAGGATCTCAAATTCAACATTTTGAAAAAGATAACTGATATGCAATTATATCCCCTCAGGGCTTCATGAGCTCTCCTCCAAAGATGGACCTAGACATTTCAGGTCGGCCTGGCTGGCAAAATGTATCTAGCACAGTCTGGGACATGTTCAGAGCCAGGCAGTCCCGCCTCCTGGGGCACTGATAGAGGACACAATACTATAATCACATAACAGCCTCTGGCATGTATGCCCATGTGTGCTGGATTCCTAGCAAAACGAATTAAGTTTAAGAAGAGGCAATAATGCAACTATTTCCTTAAGAGTCAATTAGAACATAAAATCTATTTCTGACCTCATACGTAGGGTGACCATAGTTGTTCGTCAGGGACATTTTCATTTTATACCTGCTGCCTTAGTGTCCATCTGCTTTTGTTTTTTGGTCCTAACTTGTTAATTTTTAATCGTATATCATTAGAATTTTAGTTTTGAAAGTAGTTTTTAAAAAAGAACTATTTCATAAATTTACTAATATGAGAAAGTTGTTCAATGTGTATAAATTTCAAAAATTGCAATTTTCATTGTCTTACCTACTCTTTCCAACTTATTCTCAAAAGTATCCTACATTGGACAATAAATAATACCACTGTGCTCATAAGGCACTTATATTCTGTGCTTTTTAAAAAAGTTCTTCTAAAAAAGAATGGGATACATGTGCAGAACATGCAGGTTTGTTACATAGGTAATGTGTGTCATGGTGGTTTGCTGCACCTATTGACCTGTCTTCTATGTTCCCTCCTTTTACCACCCACCCCCCAACAGGCCCTTGTGTGTGTTGTTCCCCTCTCTGTATCCATGTGCTCTCATTGTTAAACTCCCACTTATGAGTGTGAACATGCGGTATTTGGTTTTCTGTTCCTCATAGTTTGCTGAGGATGATGGCTTCCAGCTTCATCCATGTTCCTGCAAAGGACGTGATCTCATTCCTTTTTATGGCTGCATAGTATACCATGGTGTGTATGTACCACATTTTCTTTATCCAGTTTATCACTGATGGCCATTTGGATTGTTTCCATGTCTTTGCTACCGTAAATAGTGATGCAATAAACATACATGTGCATGTGTCTTTATAGTAGAATGAATTACATTCCTTTGGGTATATACTCAGAAATGGGAGTGCTGGGTCAAATGGTATTTCTGATTCTAAATTCTTGAAGAATTGCCATACTGTCTTCAACAATGGCTGAATTACTTTATATTCCCACCAACAGTGTAAAAGTATTCCTGTTTCTACACAGCCTCTTCAGCATCTATTTTTTCCTGATGTTTTAATAATTGCCATTCTGACTGGTGTGAGATGGTATCTTATTGTGGTTTTGATTTGCAATTCTCTGATGATCAGTGATATTGAGGGGTTTTTTTCATATGTTTGTTGGCCACATAAATGTCTTCTTTTGAGAAGTGTCTGTTCATGTCCTTTGCCTAGTTTTTGATGGGGTTTTTTTTTCTTATAAATTTGTTTAAGTTACTTGTAAATCCTGGATGTCAGACCTTTGTCAGATGAGTAGATTGCAGAAATTTTATCCCATTCTGTAAGTTGCCTGTTCACTCTGATGAGAGTTTCTTTTGCTGTGCAGAAGCTTTTTAGTTTGATTAGATCCCATTTGTCAATTCTGGCTTTTGTTGCAATTGCTTTTGACATTTTTGTCATGAAGTCTTTGCCCTTGCCTATGTCCTGAATGATATTGCCTAGGTTTTCTTCAGGGGTTTTGATGATTTTGGTTTCAAATTTAAGTCTTTAATCCATTTTGAGTTAATTTTTGTATGATGTGTAAGGAAGGGGTCCAGTTTTCAGTTTTCTGCATATGGCTAGCCAGTTTTCCCAGCATCGTCTACTGAATAGGAGGGCCTTTCCCCATTTTTTGTTTTTGTCAAGTTTGTTGAAGATAAGATGGTTATTAATGTAGGGCGTTATTTTTGAGGTCTCTGTACTGTTCTATTGATCTATATATCTGTTTTGATACCAGTACCATGCTGTTTTGGTTACTGTATACTTGTAGTGTAGTTTAAAGCCAGGTAGCATGACACCTCCAGCTTTGTTCTTTTTGCTTAGGATTGTCTTGGCTATATGGGGGTCTTCCTTGATTACATATGAAATTTAAAATAGTTTTTTTCTAATTCTGTGAAGAATATCAATGGTAGTTTGATGGGAGTAGCGTTGATTCTATAAATTAATTTGGGCAGTATGGCCATTTTCACGATATTGATTCTTCTTATCCAAGACGGTGGAATGGTTTTCCAATTGATTTCATCCTCTCTTATTTCCTTGAGCAATGCTTTGCAGTCCTCCTTGAAGAGGTCCTTTGCATCCCTTGCTAGCTGTATTCCTAGGTATTTTATGATCTTTGTAGCAATTGTGAATGGGAGTTCATTCAGGACTTGGCTCTGTGTTTGTCTATTGTTGGTGTAAAGGAATGCTTGTGATTTTTTCACCTTGATTTTGTATCCTGAGACTTTGCTGAGGTTGCTTATCAGTTTAAGAAGTTTTTAGGCTGAAATGATGGAGTTTTCTAAATATACAGTCAAATTGTCTGCAAACAGAGACAATTTGACTTCCTCTCTTCCTATTTGAATATCTTTTATTTCTTTCTCTTCCCTGATTGCCCTGACCAGAACTTCCAATACTATGTTGAATAGGAGGGGTGAGAGAGGGCATCTTTATCTTGTACTGGTTTTCAACAGGAATACTTTCAGCTTTTGCCCCTTTAATATGATATTGGCTGAGTAGTTTGTCATAAATAACTTTTGTTATTTTGAGATGTGTTTCATCAATACCTAG